AACCCATTATTTTAAAGGTAAGCCGTCTCCAAGAAAACACACGGAAGTGAAACACGCATTAACATTGCTTTATACAATATACTGATTTAGATTATTTAGTCATTTGTAATGCATACCAACGTGGTTTACTGGACAGTATTTGTAAAAAAAAAAAAAAAAAAAAAGGTATTCATCTTTGTAAGTTTTAGAAACAAACAAGTACAATATGTCTTTTCGCGTATCTCATTTGTTTATATGTTTATAATGTTTGTAAGCCATTTATACACCATGTATTTATGAATATCAATTAAAACATTATTAAGTACCCATGCTTTGTCTTAGTTCTTATTTCAAGGGCCTGTGTTCATAAAACTGAGAATGTATCGTACTTGTTTTACACCAATAACTCCTACCATCATAAAACCTATTGTTTTAGTTTTATTACTTGTTTCTTAAGTGTTACACAATACATCAACGTTTCGTAGACATGTATCAAAAATAGCATGTACTTGTTTTGCTGTTAATTATTTGGTGGCTATCACCGATAGGACTTTTTGGGTTTGTTTTTGTTTGTACCTTGGGTGTATGCCGTCATGGTATGACATGAAGTTAAAGTCGGTATGGAGACCATTTCCAGATATGAGGGAGTATATTTAGGGAGCAAATTCGTATATAAATGATCTCCTTTAAACAGCCAACAAATTGCCATTCGTCGGAAGACATCTTGTGAAAGGTTTCATACATTTGTAGCCATCTGTCCGCTTTTGCTGAATTTCTAAATATGTTTCGGAACTCGTCAGAAATGGTTTGCAATTCGTTCGACCTTTAATACCAGTGATGATCTTTCAATGGAAGAGATGACCACACCATGCAATAAAATGTTAGGGAAATATGCTCCTTCCGTGTGATATGAAGTTCAATGTTTCTGATAAAGCTCATTATAGTGCCTTGTGGTTTTGGTGTCACTAGCCTTGTGGTTTTGGTGTCACTAGCCTTGTGGTTTTGGTGTCACTAGCCGAATTTTCCATGTGAGGACATGACATTACCGGGATTCGATTTAGATGTACATTGCGGATGTCATTGATGAAGTAGAAAAAGCTTGCTCCTCCGGAACACCTGGTCTTATTCACCTTGTACTAGTTCAAGGGTTTCCACGATATCCTTTCCTTCATTCATATTTTTGCCATAATTTTAACCTTTTTGAGTTCGAAATATGATTTTGTTGACACTGCGGTGTTCTCTTGTTTTTGTTTTTGTTTGGCTTTCTGCATCGACAAACTGACATTTTAAATACTTATATCGTAACTCTAATGATTATCTAACGTAACAATATGGTCGACTGTTATTGTAGTCCCCTGGTGTTGTTCGTGACCTCATGATTTGAATAAATTCTGGTACAATAAATACTAGTTAAAAGAATGTATTTTTTGTTGTATTTCCGTTAGATTTCTACTGCTCATTCTACTGATGTTTCTTCATTAATAAATCGGTACTTCCGTTAGATTTCTAGTGATCATTCTAGTGATATTTCAACAGTAATAGATCGGTACTTCCGTTAGATTTCTACTGATCATTCTAGTGATGTTTCTACAGGAATAAATCGGTACTTCCGTTAGATTTCTAGTGATCATTCTAGTGACATTTCAACAGTAATAAACCGGTACTTCCGTTAGATTTCTACTGATCATTCTAGTGATGTTTCTACAGTAATAAATCGATACTTCCGTTAGATTTCTAGTGATCATTCTAGTGATGTTTCTACAGTAATAAATCGGTACATCCGTTAGATTTCTAGTGATCATTCTAGTGATATTTCTACAGTAATAAATCGGTACTTCCGTTAGATTTCTAGTTATCATTCTAGTGATAATTCTACAGTAATAAATCGGTACTTCCGTTAGATTTTTAGCGATAATTCTAGTGATATTTCTACAGTAATACATCGGTACTTCCGTTAGATTTCTTGTGATCATTCTAGTGATGTTTCTACAGTTATAAATCGGTACTTCCGTTAGATTTCTTGTGATCATTCTAGTGATGTTTCTACAGTAATACATCGGTACTTCCGTTAGATTTCTACTGATCATTCTAGTGATATTTCTACAGTAATAAATCGGTCCTTCGTTAGATTTCTACTGATCATTCAAGGGATGTTTCTACATTTATAAATCGGTACTTCCGTTAGATTTTTAGTGATCATTCTAGTGATGTTTCTACAGTAATAAATCGGTACTTCCGTTAGATTTCTACTGATCATTCTAGTGATGTTTCTACATTAATAAATCGGTTCTTCCGTTAGATTTCTACTGATCATTCTATTGATGATTCTACAGTAATAAATCGGTACTTCCGTTAGATTTCTAGTGATCATTCAATGGATGTTTCTACAGTAATAAATTGGTACTTCCGTTAGATTTCTACTGATCATTCAAGGGATGTTTCTACATTTATAAATCGGTACTTCCGTTAGATTTCTAGTGATCATTCTAGTGATGTTTCTACAGTAATAAATCGTTTATTCTGTTAGATTTCTAGTGATCATTCTAGTGATATTTCTACAGTAATAAATCGGTACTTCCGTTAGATTTCTAGTGATCATTCTAGTGATGTTTCTACAGTAATAAATCGGTACTTTCGTTAGATTTCTTGTGATCATTCTATTGATGTTTCTACAGTAATAAATCGGTACTTCCGTTAGATTTGTACTGATCTTTCTATTTATGTTTCAACATTCACTCACCAATTTGTATTTTTTTTATTTAAATTTTCTTAAATGTCTTATTCATATCAAGGTTCTACTGCACAGAGATACATGAATGAAGTGTTACTCTTTGGTAGTGCAATACATAGTAACAAAAATGAGGGATTTATCTAAAGGATGTTTTTGTATGTTGAATGATAAGAAGAACGGCATTGTATCAAAAATACTTCTTAAATTATACACAACGAGGAGTATTAAATCAAACGAAAAGATATCATAACAAGGTTTTTACAGTGTACTGATAAATGAGGGTATATGGTAATAATTTACTGTTACTGGGGGTGGGGAGGGGGTATGGGGCGGTGTGTGTGTGTGCGTGTGTGAGGTGTTATATTGTGTTTTATACTGTAAAACGAGGAACAAGGGGATATTTTTTTCATTTCATCAAATTTTATTGACAAGATTGCATAATCGATTGGATAGAATAACAGGCAAATCCTATAAAAATTATCTCCGTCAAATGGCCAAAGTGGAATAAACAATGAGACATAATATTTTAGACATGTTAGAAATGAAAAAATTAACACAAACTAATTCATATTAACACAAGACTAAGTGGAAGTAACTCGTTAAGGAACATCTCACACACCTCATACACACTTACACACACACCTCAAGTACATGTACAGATACATTAATTTCAGCAGATCTATACAATGTACACTATCATAGACAGATATTGGCAGACTTCCAAAAATCCATGTGCATATATCGCAAAGGTCACTGCTACCAACAACTGTTACAATTAAGAATAATAAATTTATTAATACGTAAAGAGTATAATTATTTACGATGTCAAGATAAGTGCATGTAATAGTCAGTAGTCATGAATCTTCTGTATGTAATTTAGAATCAGTATTTTTTTTTATTTAACATGTATATCCTGCGTTAAGTCATATAAAAATTAAAACGACTGTATTTTCCAATAAAAAAATCCCCATCATCAAGTATTCGTCTATTTATAGGCCCATCACAATCAGGACAGCCTGGAGAAGAAAGTTTATATCAATGTGATTGTGGTTGCCATAACTATTAAGAAAACTGAACAAAGTAGTTCTTTGATTATTAAAAATAGGACATTCCAAAAAGTAATGAGATACTGTTTCGTGTTCAGCAGAGCAGGTACAAGCTGGACTACTACATGTAGTAAGATGGTCATAGTGTAAATCAGAATTTAAATTACTACAAGAGTTTCGAAGTTGACATAGAATAATATTTGCTCCTCTGTTACCTTGTTTTGAAAATTGATACAGATTCACTTTCAGAAAGAATATCTTTATTCAATTATTTTTGTAATGCTGCAGGAGAGGGAGAATTAAGAAGATCAGAATTAGCAGTGTTAATTGTGCGGCACATTTGAGGGAAAAAAGCTGTCGAAATAGTTATTAGTTCTGCATAATGGTGGGTTATCATTTTGATTATTAATAAAGGGATTGAGGTGTCTGCCCATGCATAATTTTGCACATCAATACATGTTTGTGTTTATTTCGTCTCACATATAGTGTTTCCCAACCTAGTTCATTGTATAGTTTGTCATGTGATACCCCAGAACGTAGCCCTATTATTATCCTGGCTGCTTCTAATTGTACAGATTCAAGGGGATATTATATCGAAGTTTAATTGTGATGAAAAAGGGGCAATATATCGAGGGTTTACTGTATAGTGATGAACGACAAAACATATTTCAAGGTTTACATGTAACTGTTTATGATACTTTTGAGGTTTTATAATCAGAAAACTTGGTGTGCAGTTAATATCTTTTTACATGATTTGCTTTACATGGAAATAGATTAAGAGAAAATGACAATCATTTATACAGATGTATAATTGTGTTTGAGTATGGTAAATGACCCCAGGAAGGATTACACACACGTGCAGCGTCAATCTACTTATATCTTAATGGTCATACGGGGTTCATAAGTGAAGTAGATTTACAGGAGCTAGATACGACGTGGCTGTACGTTATCCTCTATTCACATTAAGAATTATTTGGTTGAACTGTAAGATAATCAATATTTCCCTGGTGCAATATCTGCTGTACTGTCCTCCACGCCGCCGACCGGGGTTCGACTCCCTTCCTGATAGTGAAACGATATTTACTCATATCCTTTTAGATAAATATAGATACTGTACAATGAAGTTGTTTCAAAAATATAAAAATAATTTTGTAACATCATGTGGTGTGTACAATATAACGTCTCTCCGTGACTCCAAATTACTCACACTAAGTGTTATCGGAAATCCTTCAGCCATACCACAACATGCATCGTCACTTTTACATACAAGGTAGGACGTGGTACACACACTCCTTGTCGGGAAAACACCTGCCGCAAAGAAAACCAAGGCGAGTATAACATTTGTACACAATGTAAGATATTTAATGCCTAATTTCGTTTACAATGAAATATGTTAGTCCAGGAATCATTTATATCCGTTTGTTTCACATGGTGTCAGTCATTTAGGAGACAGAATTAACTTAGTCTACGCACAATTTGCCAAATTAATTAAGCCGTCTCACTTATTTTGTTGCAAATAAAGAAAGCTGGATTATCTAAGCTCCATATTATATATGAAGATATAATAGGCAGGTTGATTATTTTAATGAAGCATTTCCTTTTGTTTTGGTGTTTCCGCAATTCCTGTTGAGTCTTTCCTTATGGTTTCGGTTCTTATCAGTTCTTGTTGTCTTCCGATTTTGTCCATGTGTGTTTACTCTGTGGTGTCTATTGTTGCGACGTTGAGCTTTGCTTTTGTGCCAATGCAGTCACTGAGGGTATCAATAGCTGAATTGTGATAAAACTGTAACATATGTAACTTACTTCGTCGATTCAAGAGATCTAGAGGAGCATCTCCTTACGAAAACTAGATGCTGCACGATGTTTAATAAACAGTTAGCTGAAAAGAAACCTTTTCAAGTGCAACATTCGGCCATATTGGATGCCCAGATCATCGTCATAGTAGATGTTCAGTATACAACAAATAGTTGCTAGAAACATTAATCAATGGAGCACTTATATCAAAGTGTATGATAGAAGGTCGAAGTAGAAAGCCATCGAAGTGAGCATGTTTAGGACTCATCGGTGTTACATAGTTAAAAAGCCGAGCGAAGCTCCTTAATGGTAACACATGCGTGCGTATACAGATTTGCTTCACCTTTCTACTCGTTGCCTTTGTTTGTATCGTCCGGAAGTAGACGTCCAGTGGGGAAACAGGCAGTGTATCCTTGAAGCAAAGACAATTGCGTTTCAACTCATGCATGAATATCTTCATATAATGAAAACAATCTTCATGTTTTATTTCTTGTTTATTTAGATAAAAAATAATATACATTATGAGGGAACAAAGTTTATCACATACAATGTGGTACTAACAGGCATGAAACTTCGTTCAGAGATTATCATACTATGACGTCACAAGCATGTCACAATCCATCGGCCTTCATCGGTTATTTCCAGAAGGATGAAAAATAACCGGAAAATTCTGGAACTGATGTTCGTTGCATTTATCTCTTTGTCGGTGCTTCAAGACTTTTTTTATTTCAGTTTTTTCCACAGGCACAAAAAGTAAAAAAATGGATATTTTCTGAAGGTCATTTTTGTCATCAACCCGGTTCTGTTGATATTTCTACCGGGAGATATCTTCAAAAAGGAGATCATTTAAAATTTCATCAGCTTTTGATTTCCATTTGTTGAGAATATGAACGAAATAATTGACATTTTTGAAAGTCTGGATATAGTCTTTACATTATTTATTCATCACCAATGGAAAATGCATTTGTGATGAAATTAATGATAATTTTCCAGACAACCAACCTAAGTGCAACGCCCTTTTTAAGCAACGTATTACTTTTTCATAACGCGTGCCGATTTCGAATTCGTTTCAGACAGAAACTGTAAACTTGTATTTGGCATCATTGGAACACTCTTATGTAAAATGACTTAACACCTGAAAATTACTTTTGAGAGGGTAGAAAGAAATTCATGATCTCGCTTCTAGTTATGCGAACTTTTTGAAACGGAATTACTACTTTTTACAGTCAAACGTGTAAGACACTGACAGCTTCAAATGATAATAATAAAAGCCAAGCCAATTACTCACTACCTTATTGCTGTACGATAAGAATTTATTGAAATATCAATTTGGGCCTGGACAGTTTCGGCCAATGATACCGTGGCAAGTTAGGCCCATGTAACACATAAAAAGTCGTAAAAATAGCGGTAAAATCTGACGTTGCATGCTTTATGACGACATAATTAAGCTGATTCCAATAAGGGGGCCGAACTTACCCGAATGCCTGTCCCCATGGCGAGGATCGTTCGGCCATCCGATCTTCCGACAGGATAGTTAAATAATGTCTAAAAACGGACGTGCTGCCATGCTTCCTAGAACGGACTTCAATAAAAAAAAAAAGGGCCGAACTTGCCACGGTGTACCTATTGTTATGTCGGTCTTAATCTCATTAGAGCTTATGTTTTATTGTTATTCCTCAACTAGCCGACTTCAAATAAAGTTTATCTTATCTCATTCTGAAAGTTGTATTTCTAATCAGTAAATATCAGAGATCAACAAAAGCTACGCTCTTTTAAGGCTTTGCCTTTTCATATTGTATTCCGTAAGTAGGGATATATCAAACGGTAAAGGTGCATACACACCCTTTATAACGCTACATTTACATGTTTTGACTACCACAGTCATTTGTTTTAACTTGCATGTCATATATACATTGACAGAATAAATTCCATCTTTAAGTTTACGGTCGACCTTGGAGACTGACACTCTACCAGCGGAGTCAACCACAAAGTAACATAAATTAATAATAATAAATAATAATATACAAAATTGATATAGCGCCCTATCACTAATCACTAGAAAAAAACGAAGGATTGAAGGAATGTCTTTTTGAAAGTTTAATAAGTGTACAATGTAGAAAACAAAACAAACTAAACACTTAGTGCACCAAACGCCCATTTCGTCGATTAAGAACTTATCGGTAGTACCAAGTGGAACTTTATTATTTAGTTTTAGTTTAAATCAATTTTATTGCAACAAAAGACAAATGGATTGGGCAAAAGTTATTGCAACTTACATGTACTTACGTCCTTTCCGTAACAGAAAATATATATACAAAATTAATGTGTCACGTAATAACCTAATACAAATTTATATAATTATATATATATAAGATGTTAAAGATGGGTTACAGAAAAAGAGGTAATGATAGGATTAGGGACACCAACGTATAGTTTTTAAATATGTATTCGGAGAGTTTACTTGATATCGCGTGTTTGATTTTCCCAATCGAGTCGACGTAAGTAGTATACCTAATCTATACACACATATCCTTCTGCTTTTTTAAAGTTCAATCACATTCCGTGCCGCATTTGCCTTTCTCCTGTGTCACTCCAAGTCACTCTGTGAATTCCTGTCTTACATACTTAGCCGACTAGATTAGGAAAACCGGACACGCACTCTTTGTCATATGGAAACGGTTATGATACTGATGGACGCTAAGATTGAAGTTAGTACACAGAGATCGTTTGTGTTGGAAAAAGGGAGAGGGGCTGGAATAAGAGAGGAGGTGGAGGAGAGAGACAGATTGGAATAGTCGAAGTAGTTATCCTGGTTGGGTATTACATGTTAAACCGTTTGGAGCTAAAAATGAACAGTTGTACAGACCTACAAATCTGAATGTTTAGATTGTAGTCAAGGTTTGCATCTCCGAAGAGAAGATGTTCAACAGTGATTTCGTTATACCAATCGAGGGATTGAAGCATTATATTACGAGTCTTCCGTGTCATTTCCGCAGTCGCAAGTAGAGCTGTCTCGAAGGTGAGCTTTAAAAAGGTCGTAATTTAAAGAGCTACTGCGGTTTCGCAATTGGCAATGTATAATATTTACTTTTCTGGACCCATATTCAAGAAAACATTGATATAAGAAGGGGTAGTGACTTGAGGTTGAATAGGAGTTTTAAATTGTTTAATGGATGCTGATGACTTTGTTTCTATTGGTAGATTGTTCCAGTAGTCTGAAGTACTTATTATGAAGGATGATTTTGTGATTTGCAGTCTATAGTATGGGTTCTGAAAGCTATTCCTGTTTCTATGATTATAGTTAGAGAAGTTTGACACAATAGGTGGTAGAAGAGATTTTAGAAATGAGGGAGCATTATCATGATAAATATTATAAAACATGGATAATTTTCTAATCCTGCGTCTATCTATCAATGATTTCCATCCGAGCTCTCTGTAAATATTATTTTTTTGTACAAATAGGTAATCCAGTAATTATTCGCCCGGTTTCATACTTCATGTTCTCTAATTTATTCGAAAATGTGAAATTATGATTGTCCCATACTTCGCAGGCATATTCAAATAGTGGTCTTATAAAAACAAGGTATATTTTTTCCAAGTTTTTTCTATTTAGGATGTATTTTAATTTCATTAAAGTTGCAATGTACTTTGTAGTGTTTGTTAATATATACTCAATGTGAGAGTTCCATGTGCCGTTGTTACTAATAATGACTCCTAGGTGTTTGTGGTTTTAACAATAGGGATAGGTGTGTTGTCGAAAAGAAATTGTGGGTGAGAAGGTATATTTGTGTTGGAAATTTAGAGTATTTCGGTTTTATTTGGGTTGAAATTCATTAAACATTCATTTGACCAAAGGTTTAATTGTTCCATGTCATAGTTTATTACTTGTTTTATATCGTGTACATTTTTGGAAGAGTGTGCTAATGCGGTGTCGTCAGCAAAATGTCACGTCATTGATAGTAGTGTATTTGAAATATCGTTGATGTATACAAGAAAAAGAAGTGGCCCTAAAAATGCCCCCATTTCACTTGCGTTGCGTCAGTGTCAATCAGGGTCGGTCAGTAAATTTTGGGCTGTCGCAAAACTGTTCGAGCATTTTCGAACACTTTCGAACACAAATGGCACATCTACGATTCATATCGGTCAGAGTTACGTCAGTATTCGGTCAAAATGGGCCGATGTCGGTCGGTGTGCGGCAATAGCTGCGTTGATGGTGCGATGATGAGTGTCAGAGTTGCGATGCACTTGGATGCACATAGGACAGACATACGTCGATGTGGGTTAGTGTGCGACGCAGTTGCGTCGATGTTACGCCATGGAGGGTCATAGAGGGTCAGACATGTTGATGGCTGCGATCTTCGTTGATTTAAAATAGTGTGATTTCAGGCCTAGGGTGGTCCAATCTAGTCCAGTCCAGGGACAGTATGAATGAGCAAGTACTAGGACTTTTCCAGGCTGATCTGATTGTTCAGCATCATGCCTACATCCGTGCCCAGGCCGAGGTCCTGCAGGAAAGAAGGAGGCAAAGGGCCCGAAGAAGATATAGCAAGAAGCGGTTCTGGGTGAGGACCTGGTTAACAGAAGATGAGCGAGTCTCAGCTGGCCAGTACAACAACCTTATGGTCAAGCTCCGGAACGAGGATGTACAGTCGTTTACTAACTACCTGCGCATGCCTCCAGACATGTTCCAATTCCTGCTCAACCGGCTGACGCCTCGCCTCCAGAAGAAGGACACCAAGTTCAGACGACCTCTGGAACCAGGGCTGAAGTTGGCTGTGGTACTCCGGCACCTGGCTACTGGGGACAACTACCCAAGTTTGCAGTACAGCTTCAGAGTGTCCAGACACACCATCGCCAGCTTTCTGCCAGATGTCTGTCAGGCCATCATCGATGAATTTGCAGAAGAGGAGGTCCAGTGCCCCGTCACCCCCGATGAATGGAAAGAGGTGGCCCTGCAGTTCCAGAGGAGGACCAAACTTGGACCTAGTGCTCCTGTACCATTGTTTGAGATGGCTGCCCGTCAACCCCATCTTCTGGCCCTGCTCTTCCCACAAGAGGTCCTTCTCAGGTGTCTTCCTGTAGCTTTCATGGCGCGTGTTCCAGACTTGTGGGAACTCTCGGAGCCAGTCACAGACGGCTTGCTCTTGTTCGGGAGTGAGCACCACCTCTGCGGTCTTCTTTTTCTTCTGGGCTGGAACCTCCGTGTCATCTTCTGAAGAAGTTGCACCATTAAAATACTCGTCCTCCTTCTCAGCACCAACGTCTGCCTCCTCCATGGCCTCGGCTACAATATCTTTATTGCCACGTCCACGTCCACACCCTCTGCTCCCTCCAACACGACCACGACCTCTTGGATGCTTCCCTTGCCCAACGATGGTTATCACCTGGCCCACACTTTCAACAACTGGCTGGACCTCTACCTGGTGCTCGTCGTCTCCTGTTGGAGTGTCTCCGGGCTGCATCACGGCTTTGCCCTTCGTCTTCTTTATTGCCTGTCTTAACGTTTTTCTTGATTTCTTTGGTGGCATGATGCTTTGGAAAACAAATGTATCACTAGCCAATCGTATGTGGCGCACCCGTATTTATAGCAACCGACATTGACCAAACTACAACCCAAGCTGACCGAATATTGACGTAACACTGGCGCAGGCTGACGCAGCATGACCGAATGGCAACCCATGTCTAACCCCGCCAGGCAGTGCATGACGGTCCCTGACATTGTTTGCTGACTGAATGTGACCGAATGTCGACTCAGAGCAACCGACTGTGACGTAACACCAACGCAGAGAAACCCACTGTTGACCGAGTCTGATAAAACACTCGGACAGGCAGGGTTTCTCAGGGTTTGTGTTAAGTCGATGTCGGTCAATCTACGTTCCTGTCGGATGCTGTCGGATGGCGGCTAACCGACACCGACGCCGCCTGTCGTAGCCTAGTGAAATGGGGGCATAACACTGAACCTTGAGGAACTCCGGCTTTGATAAATACTTCAGAAGATATAGCATTTTTTAGTACCACTGACTGGCGTCTGTTACGTAAGTAGTTTTTAATCCAATCTAAAAGTTTGCCTTTTATCCCGTATTTTTCTAATTTAATTAATCGACCTTTGTGCCAGACTCGGTCGAAAGCTTTAGAAAGTATGCTATGATAGAGTTCGATGAGTTGGTGAGTTGTAGAGTGATTTGGTAAGAAGCCAGACTGTAAAGTATATAGAAGTTTGTTGCTGAATAGATAGTTATAGATGAGCTTATGAATCATTCGTTCGAAAAGTTTGCCAATGTAGCTAAGTAAAGAAATGGGTCTGTAGTTTTTTGCCAATTCAGATTCCCCCTTTTTGAAAATAGTTGTCACATGGGCAAATTTCGATGAATCAGGAAATACGAAAGGATTCGTTGAATAGAAGTGTGAGGGGTGCAGATATTTCATTGGATACCATTTTCTACAGATAACCTGTCGTTATTGTATCGACGTAGATTTAAAAAAGAAACGAAAAAGTCAACACACAGATGGATAAATGATTAGAGCGAATCTGTTATAGTGGTTAACATCGTTTCAAAGATTTGGCAGTCACGTGGTATAGTAAGGGGGCGTGTCTTCTTCCGGTGTAAATCAATAGCAAATCAAATTCCTTGAAGGAAAACATTGCTAATTTTTGACGAAAATGGCTGAAATTTCACACCCTTCAAAGAAAGGATATCCATGTAGTCTGGAACCACAATCCAGTGTTTGTCACACTGTTTTGTGAAACTCTCGATCATTCGATATATAACAGAAGTGCACATGCACTCCAACATGTATCAATCTGATTAAAATACAGCTCTTGACATTATACCATCGTTCTACTATCCTACGATAGTGTAATGAGGAGCTGCATTTTAATCAGATTGAACATGTATCACATGACTTGCATTGTTATATGTAAAGCCCGGCCGAAGCCGGAGAGAAACAGTAACTTGAAAACAAAGTATTTATCGACCTGAGTGATATTTCTGGGTTAAAAAATTACTGGGTGATATTTTTTGGTGCTAGAATGTTTCTCTTTAGTAATTTTGGTGTTAAACTTTTCTCTGTGGTATTTTGTGTGTTAGTATTTTCCTCTGTGGGATTCTGGCTCATCTTTGGCATTTTTGTGTCAAAGTTGTACTTGTTTTTGTGTTAGATTTGTCCTTTCTGGTACTTTTGGTGCGCCTAGATTGTACTGAGTTGTAGATATTTGATATTGTTATTGTCCTTGTTGGTTTGTTTATTCTTTAAAGATTACACTGGGTGACACTGTAATTCAGATTGTGATGAGTCGTATTTTTCGTCTTACAGATTATACAGAGTGATCATTTCGGTGTAAGGATTATGATGTGTGGTTGGTTGAGGATATGGGCTGTAATCAATATGACCTGTATCCTTCTGCTAACAACCGGAAGTTGTGGTTACGAGGAGAGGGACAGGACCGGAAGTACACTGTCAGATATGTAAGCTTAGAAACGAATATACACATAAAATAATAATGAAATTGTCTTACATCAGTTTTAGACTCAAAGCTGTGAGATCACCAGTACAGATTGGGATAACTTATACAACGCATTTTATTTAGAACTGCTAAAATTTATTTTAACAAGTAAGATTTATATACATTGTATATGTGCTCTCTCGAAAAATGACAATTTACTGTTTTTATATTTTTGTTGAATACTAATACAGTAGTATGTATCGCGAAACGTTGGTTTCAACGGAGAATTTTATTTGATTATCTTTTGTGTAGGACTTGAAATTTGTATTTATTTTTCAAAACTCATAATCTTATTTGCATGTTATAATTATTTGAAATATTTGTATTTTTTTCAAAACAGTTTTGTCAAAATTAAAGTTGCCTCCCTTCTTCCAGTGTTAAATCGGCAGTAAGACAGCGTTGGATACCATTGCCATTTTGCAGATAAAATTTTGTTTAGTGACAACAATCTTTATGATTGATCCAAATAAATTAATCATCAGAGATATCCCGTTTAGACAATATCCTTACGTGTATGTCTGCAATTCAACGACCAACAATGTTTTAACAAATAGTTCAGATTATAATCTCGTTATCAAAACTCTTCAAGCGGAATACTTCACTTTTCTATTCTTTCGCTTATATCCCATTGTTTAAATTAATTATAACCAACGTATCCCAATATTAAAACAAACGTTTGTCTAAGCATTTTTAAAATAAATTTGCAGTTTATGGAGAAATCAGAACGAGATGTATCAAGAAATGGAAAACTGTTCCGACAGTGAACGATTCTTTTACTCCACGGTATTTCCAAGTGGAGTCTGTAATGACGGTGTAAAATGGATGTAAGTATTTGTTCATTTGCCGAGGCCGGCTGTGATGTATTGTGGTCCATCTCTCCGCAGTTTTAACGACGTACCCACGAATTCGGACACCAAAGCAAAAGGTCTAGATAAATAAAACTCCATACACACAAATCCCCGAATCATGCATTCACAGTCACTGCTACAGTCGAGTGCGAATAGCATTACATACACATCAATGCCGTATCTGCAATTTTAACGTTGTACAGATTCGTATTTTCCACTAAAACGGAAACAAATTACACTAAGAGTAAGCAAGTTCAGATCTTTGTACATTATATCCGGTCTCCTGACAATATCTCTTGACTTGATAGCTGAAGCTCCGATTATTGTATTTAAACACTTCAGATATATGATATCATTAGCCGGTACACTGCGTCCCCTTATGATCACGTCACAAAAACGAATCAATTCTGATTAATATTGAATTATGTTTCTGTAGTTATCAACTGAATGCAAAAACTTTTATTTGTTGCTTTCTCTATTGCATTTTTGGTTTTTCTTAACTTTTGATAAGGTTCTGTTTATAGCATACATCAGATACGAAAGCTATAAATACACCGAACAAACAATAGCAACAACTAACAGCAGTGTCTCTAATATGTCTTATATCAAATCCGTACTTTGTAGATACAAGCAGCGGAGTAACACACCAACTGTTACCTGCATCCCGGGATACGTATTACGAGAGCGTTCATGTGTCAAAGGTATAAAAAAATCTATTTTTTATCCGCTAGGAGGTGGTTTTATATAAGTCTATGTTTATCAGAAGATGTCCAGGTATAACAAAGATCAAATTCTTGTGTACTGCGGTTTTCTTGGACTAGAAAGATCGACTTTCATTTTAAGACTTGAAATCGTCATTGCGCAAGACTTTACCTTCGTAGCTAAGCTCCGTCCTGAGTGTAATATGATATTGGTAGAGTATTACGGTTTCTGTGCAGCAGTATCCAAATGGAATGACACTATCATGAGTTGCTGGAAAGAACAGACCCATAAGAAGCAGGACACAAATACACCGTGTATCTACACTAACTTGCCAGCAAGGTGCCTGCTCTCCAATTATTGGAGGGTACGGGATATGTCGAATACTGGTATTGTCTATCCTAATTTTGTTCTTAGTAAACAGCATTCTGATGTATAGCAAATATCGTTAATCCCAACATATTCGATTCCGGAAAATATGTTCCTATCAGGGGGGTTTCTGATACCTCTTATATTTTAAAAGAATATATAGAGTTGGCTATTTATTCATTTCACCTGGACACAGGTGTTTGGTAACTAAACATCGTAATGTCTGGTGTTTTATCCGGGTTTATACCACGTAGTTACTGAATCGATTCCGAGAAAATATGACAAACAATTTTGCAGATAGGATTTAAGCGAAGTTCTGGATTATCGAGTACAATTTTTATGATTGAAATCCGTTTCAAAACAACTGTCCAGAATGTTAGTTTAAGGAGTAGAAATATTGGCTTTAACAATAAAGACTCGAAGGTTATACAACTTAATTATAATTGCAGAATGTGTTGCTGTACCAGATGTAAAGAAAAAGCTTCCTCGGTACTTAATTGCTAATTCAAGTGAAGAGGAGGTAACTGACCTTGGGAACAGCACCATGAATGGTACAAACACAACCAAAGAAAGAGGTACTGATCTGGATGGAACGGGCGAGAACGGTACAAACACAACTACAGGAAAAGAAACTGATATTGATCAAACGGGAGTTAACGATACAAACACAACCAAAGACGAAATGGAAAATGATGGTAAATCAGCAATGTATATAGACTGCTTTAGACGTCTAAAGGTGTAATGATTCGTAACCTGTTTACTGATGAGCCATACGACGAAGTCTGGAAAAAAACACCAAAAAACACTGTTTATCTTTTTAATACATTTCCAAATATAATGTATTCACTGTATATATCCTTAAATCTCGTTATATGTAATTGTATGATGATCGAAAGCTTACACCAATCATTAGAGTCCGGTTGTGAACTCAAACGAATTTAATTTCCCCCGATTAATATACCCAACGATCATTTTTAACTTATTCTTGAAATAATTGCACTTTAATGTCAAGATAAATGTATAGCCTATTTTTTCAGTATTTGTATGTAAACGCTTTAACATGTATACAGTCCTAGACATTTCCTTATTTTCTAATTGCATTCTAATAGATGGCCTTTTTAATCTACAGAATGTATTGATGGCTGTTTGTGTGAAAACAATTCCACATGTGACAAATTGACAGGTCAGTGCACGTGCAGAGATGGTTGGAGAGGAATTGAATGCAAAGAAGGTAATGACTTATTAATAATCTCTATTCGTTTTAAACACAAATGTCTCACAGACGCGAAACACCTGACATCGACAATTTGATGTTTAAACTTAAATTTAGTCAGTAGGCAATTCTTTGTGTTCTTTAAATCGATTACAAACCGAGTAATTAGTGTGATAGTATATACTTGGACTTGTTCACCACTGACAAAATGTGTTCCAACTGGTTTTATATTTAAGGCCATACACAACGTGTACCTAACAAAACGAAATGGTGAGGTGTTAGAATTTGTGAAATGTTGTGGACAATCCATAATGAAGATTACCTACATTGTACAATACACCATGAACGTTGTTATAACTTGTATTGGTTATGGTTTTATTAAATCGTACCTGTTTCTCCTACCAAAGAGTGTTCAAGAGGGACCTACGGCACACATTGTAATCAGAACTGTACATGTGACGTCACTTCCTGTCATCCTGTTGATGGTTGTATATGCCGGTCACAGGAACAAAACTGTAACATTGGTCAGTTTGCATCTTTTTATATCTTTCATATTTCCATCCAATTAAATAATTTACATGATTTCTACGAAAACACTTTATCGGAGCAAGCTGTCTCTGTTGCTGTTTCTTTAATAAATAAATAAAAAAATAACAAATCAAATGAAATAAATACAATAAATAAAATACTTATTGTTAACAGAACGTCAATATTTTGTAATAACTATATGACATCACAAAAACAAATCGATGACGTCACGGATATTGCAATGACAAGCAGAATTGACAGCGTGTTTTTTAATTTATTTTTAATGAATTTTGTGAAAAAAAATGTGTAATTTCATATGTAAGGTAAGTCATGTGATACAGATACTATCATACTTGTGTTTAGACTTTACACTTTAGGAGTATCTATTTCACTCACAGGCCACCTGCTTATGATAATTTGTTTCATTTGTTTTGTTTCAGTGTGTCCATCGATGACCTTTGGCTCTGGTTGCAGTGGTCAGTGTCTGTGTTTAAGTACAGGGACGCAGGACTGCGGAGTACTGGACGGATCATGCACGTGTAAACCGGGCTGGACAGGCACGTTCTGTGACCAATGTGAGTGCATGATCGGCATACGCTAAATACCCATTAAACTTCTTAGATACATTATCAAGACTTAACAATCAAGTAATACTTGCTTGTTGTTGATGAGTATCAAAGTGTATATATCTGTGTCATCTATAAATTATGCCAAGATACCATTTATAAAAAGTATTTTGTTGGTTTTTAAGTGCCGAACTTTTCAGGAAAATTATGTAACTATTGTGAACATGTAACCTTGTTCCTCGTCGAAAGGATTGCCGACATACCCACATGATGTGTCAGTTTCAGGTGCGAGGTTGATTTACAATGTAAAGATTAATTGTACGTTTCTACTTCTACTTGTTACTTTCAGTGTGTCCTTTCGGACGTTACGGTGAAGGATGCAAAAAGAGTTGTGAATGTGAATCAAACGAATTCTGTAATCCGATTAATGGAGTGTGTCTGTGTTGGGGGATCATTCCGGGATTAAACTGCACCAAAGGTAAGTTACATATATTTCTGCGATAAGCGAGTGTATATGTATTTCGCAAAAAGGCGATAGACTAAGATAGCTGTGACAAAAAGTTCCCGGTATACAGTTCACCTAAAGCATTTCTTAAAATTCACGAAAAAATTGACTTATATTATACATTGATGATAACGTACCAAAATATCCAAACGCACAAGCTTCCTTTTCGACCGTGTCGTTTTTTCTTAAACGTCCGATCTACCAATCTTAAACGACGTTCTACAGCGTAGAACTCTTTTCAAAAGGAGGTACAATTCACAGAGAGGTAGTGATTATATGACACACATTAGACACGTATGAGAAACTGTAATACATACAATGCGGTTACCTGTCTTCACTCAATTTCTTTCTATAGTGTAGAAATGCTGCACATTTAGGTAAACATATTTGTTTTGCCAAAGTGTTTTTTGTCGGAGAGCACCCTCTCCCACCACCCACACACTCATATATATATATATAATGGGTATTCATAACTGTCAGTCTTGATCAGAACTTGTGATGTGTCTTCGCGATTCGTCTTTCTGTCTTTAAATTTGTTTTGTGTCTTTTCGATTCATTGTATCGTCTTTTGCTAAATAATTTGGTGTCTCGTCGTTTCTATTGTCGTCTTTCCTTAGGTTTCGGTGTTTCTTCGGCTCATTATGTCGTCTTTCATTAGGTTCTTCGGTTCTCGCTTTAGTCAGTATGTCCTGTTATCTTAATTTCTTTTTGATATTTTCTTGGTTCATGTTAAGTTTTTGTTTTATAAAACAATATTTCCTGCTGTTGTTATTCGTTATGATGTCAACGCCGTTTTTGTATTTTTTCTTTTATTATGTTTTCGTGTCGACTGGATTCCGATTTAATTTTCTATTTTACTTTGGTGTTTTCTCAGTTCTTGTAGGTTGTTGTCATTCATTTTGTCTGTGTGTCTCTTCTGTTTCTATTGTTGCTTTTTAATGATGGGTTCGGGTTTAGACTTTTTGCTGCTGTGCTCACGTTGTGCTGACAGTATATAGACATAATTTACAACATATTGTTTGTCTTTCAGACGAAGAGGCTCCAACAGCATTTCCACAAAGTCTTCTGCACATCTCTATCCTGGTAGGAGGGGGCCTAATTATCTTGATCGCCGTGGCGTGTACCATTGTAGCTTGGCGGCGAAAAGGGTCACAAAGGTAAGGTCAGACATATCTTCAATACTCCAGTGTTAACGTTCACTTACGCTCTCTGCACCCCTGGAAAATGTCACGACAAAGCACGTGGATGACGCAAGAAGACAAGTTTGATCCTCTGATGTACATCAAAGAATCCCGCTGCAGCATAACGGTAAAAGTGACCGACTTTGAAGTGGGGTGTCGCTCCTCAGTAACATTCAAAGAACAGGAATCAGCTTAGAGATTGATCAGGATTGTTTTTGTTACCAGAGACAAAACACATTGCTAGTCGCGTGCCTTCAATTTTGCCATGACATAACAGTGTTAGTGAGCGTCACGCTGGAGTAAGGAGGATCGATAAGACACAGTGTGATTGTTATATATTATAGGTTTGAAACAAAGAGTTATATTGACATCACAGTCTTCAATACAATACTTGTGATGTTATGGATCAGAAAAGTATAAAGCACACATAAGTCTGTGAAGATTTTCGGAATCTAGCATTATATATATATATATCGACGAAATAGTAGAAAACGAATGTAAGTGGAAACACCTTTGTGTACTCAAAAGTACTCTTGTTGCGTTAAAGACTCATGTTGTTCAAACGTAACAACAGTTCTAGTGATGTCCTTAAAGTTAGCATTGGAAAATTAAAGAAATAAAGTAAACACTATACCACCACGGGGACGGCTGTGGTGTAATGACCTGGATTTACTCTTATACCTATAATGTACATCAAAGCACTTAGAAATGTGTATAAAGGTTTAACATTATTTCAAAGCATAATCGAACATGGTTACATTTTACGTAAGGAAGCCCAACCGTATTTGCATGCATGCGATCAACCATTTACAGTCAAACATTTTCTGATTAAATACGCTGATTTCAAACAAATACGTGACAGCTTATATAATGTCTATTAAAAGTTTACTTGCGTAATGTGAGTAAATGGGAGAAAACTCAATCAAACAAATTTAGTATTTATTTAACAAAATTTATATGCATTGAAAGTAAACTTTTATGGGTAAAAATACAGTACCGTGTAACGGTATCTTTCAAATATCACATTTGTTTACAATGCATAAATAAATACTGTTAATAATATCACATTTTTCATCGGTTTTTACACATCATCCGTCTGGATACTAAAGAGAGAACTACGTTGATATTTCTCATCGTCTTTCTTCCTCATTTCCACATATAACTTCCGAAGAACATTGCAGTGTTCGAGCGCCGGCATGTCAACAAAGTCCGTGTCTATTGCTTTTTCTTTCAAATATTCACGCAATACACAAACGGACTTGTCAGTGGCTTTAACAGTGTTTCTAGCATCCCTTTGCACCAAGATAGTTTTAAGTTGATCATCGGAAACAGTTCCAAGTCTTAACAAGCCGGGTTTGTTTCACTATCGTCTGCCATTTTCACTCCATTGAGGCAACGACAATCCGCGCTTCTAATTGGTCAAAAATTTGGCAAAGGTTACTGGATTGTAATATTCACATGTGAGGCGCCCGACGGGGTTTTGGACTGGTATATTCACCTCGCGTGCATGGATTCTGTAGGTTTCGGTGTAACATCGCGACATATTTAGACCTATTAGAGGTGTTTGACCAATCAGCGTGTGGGAAAAAGGACTAGTCATATAATAAAATGGTATAGAATACATGATGATTTAATTTAATTCCATCGTTATATGTCATACAATTTGTTTTTTACAGCAAGAGCGAATACAAATTCAACAAAGATTCCACTCTAAAAATTGGTAAGTGCAGAGTAATCTCCTTTAGAAACATGTAGTTCTTATTTAAAGAATTATTATCAACTTGCAAAACGCTATAACCCTCTGCGAAATCTCGTTGCTCCCTTTTCTGATATATTTCGATTTATGCTATTTCCAGGATCATCTGGTAACCTTAATACACATTCTGATTAGTCTACAAGTAACAAAATATCTACACAATTTGTAGAAGGATATCCTTTCAAAAGTGAATAAACTCATATTGTTGGCTCAGTTATCTGTCTCTCCTAAAATTAGGAGTAAATGCTACGATATTCACATATAGTATAATGTGCAACGCAGTTCCGGGCAAATATATTCTTTAATGCACATCTTTGAGAAACGAACTGTATCGTATACCTTTTTTGATAAAAAAAAAGTATTTTATTTTTTCACAGATAATAAAACATTTCAAACAATACGTTTTCCCGAGTGGTTGAACAGTACTCGTGCGATCAAAAGTTCAGTTCTGCTATGGTTGCTAATTCAAGAAGACCGCGAACAAATCGGAAACGATTCGCGAATTTCTGCCATTATTAGAATTTGATGCCATGCCGTGCTGCTATTCCCTAATACCATAAGTTTCGGTTGGTATGATGATGTAAGGCCTGTGTATTGCAAATGTAAATATCTAAGCATAGTCAATATAAATGTCAACTTGAACGTGACGAATTAGATGAAGCGTTCTTGCACTTTATGTTGAATACCTCACGTTCCGGATGGTATTCATGTTGATTATGAATACACTTACCTTTAAAAATCACGAAGAAAATTGAAATTAATTTAAAAAAAACAGCATTTCATTACAATAAATGTATTTTTATCTATACTTATTTAATGAGTATAACAAAACTTTCAGTTTTACCTGAGTTACATTTATGATGCTATAACAAAGACAATGGCAACACGTGGGCAATGCCCTTTGTAGCATATTGGAACGTCATATGATCTTGGTAGAGTTATAACGATTTTGGTGCCATAGAGTAGTAGCTATTAAGATTTGCTGTGAGCTTTGGTGGTGTATACTAAACCTCGATATAAAACGTTTGTCTTCATCTAGCATTATTTTTAGACGATCCCCTTCTTTCGTCCAGTTTGATGACGCCATACAAGAAACAAGGAATGTCACTACTCGTCCTTCACTGGATAAAAACTCGTTATATTGCAGATGCATATACAGTTGAGCCTAACCAAGTTATCCCACTTTCAATTCAGTGTTTTATGGGATATATGTACCTTTTTATTATACAACACTAACACAGTTATTAAACCGTCTCATAACTCAGCCACTTTGCAAGAAAAGATGACAAATTTTTGATTTTACATTTTACATACAACGGCATTTAACATAGATTCTTCAATTTGTTTGCTTCAGTGCATGCCGACTTGCCCCCTAGGGAAGATGTATCTCGATACCGAGAGGAGCCCGACGCCAACATGAGAACTCAGTCCTGCAGAAATAAAAGGAAATCTCGTCAAGATGGCGCCACCAGGCAATCGGGCGTACTCAATCTACCATCTAGAGTTGCATCAAAGCCACCCTCTACCGTACTCGGCTTCCAACAGTACAGCCCTACAGAGGCCGGCTCTGTTGACATCGACGAGCTTACCAGGCATTCATACATCAATCTAAAGGACGAAGACATATCAAGTCATGTGCAAGGAGCCGGAAATGACTACGAACGTCTTGTCGAAGATGAAATAAAATCCCCATACCAAGACTACGAGGTTTGTGTCAAGAGTGACGCTCCGTACGAGAATGTTCCTGCAAAGAAACGGAGTATATTAGGCTCCCTGCGGAAGCTCGTTCGGAAGGAAAGCCACCCGGAGAGTGATAGAGTACATCTCGCAGAAGATACCAGTGCAGGAATAAGAAAAAGTAGTTTCGTAACTTTCAATAAACGAATTTCATGATTCTTCAACTTCAACAATCCTAGTGCAAATTCCCCACCAAACTGTGTGCAGCGGAAATAGTAGTATTATCTTTCAGAGGTCGAAAGTGGTAAAAGGATACATTTATTATAATGCAGATATGCATTTATATAATTGCTATATAATTGTTAGGGGAACAACGATACTCTTAATTACATAATGTATATGCATATTGGTACTTTGGAATTTTAAGGGGGTGGGGGGCAGTGATGACATTACATCCTTTACTCACTCGG